ATCATCATCATCATCATCATCATCATCATCATTGTTTGCAACAGTTATGTACGTACTGTATCGAAAGTACGATACGAAGCTTCAAAGAAAGGAATGAAAGAACATACCATTCCTACGTACCTATTGTAAGGTACTGTTCATATGTATGTATCATAGGATCCATCGTAAGAGGTCCGAGGATCATAAGAGGTCCGTGATATCAGAAATAGATTACCTCGCAAAGAACAAAGATGTCAGTAGATCAGAATAATAAGAATTCTGTGTAGATTCAGTACCGAGAGCTACATAGGATCTAATCAGAGCTACTGAAAGCTCACGTTGGAGCGCGAGAATCTTAATCTTATAATTCAATTTTTCATACACACTAAAAACATACTAAGAGTACACGTAATCTTGTGCATTGTTACCTCTGACATCACCGAAATTAGGATTGCCATCAGGATTAATATTGTGCTTAAGAGCATCAAAATCTCCTGCTAATTGGGCAAACCTTTGCTCAATTCCTCCAATTTTATTATTGAGGCTTTCCATGAGCTGCAAAAGCCTTGCATTAGGATCAGGGGCAGCACCAGCAGCATTGTCATTGGCATCTCTGGCATTAGCATTTTGATTGGCTTCTTCCACATTGGAAACATGAGAACCATCAGGATTATTTTTGGTTCCACAACTAATGTTGGATGCTAAAGATCCACAAGATCTTCCTCCATGAGGTCTTCCACTTCTAAGAGGCATGATAGTTAAATTAGATTGGTGTTTACTTGGATGCTTGAATCTGGATTTCAAAGAGCTTGGCTTGAATTTTGTGAGTGAGTTGGATTCATTCAAAATAGATTTTTACCTCAAAACTTGAATTGCTGATACATTAAAGAAATCACCAATACACATTAACACTGAATTGCCAAATTACCAAAACCAAAGGAGTTTGTAGAAATACTTGTAATCAATGAAATAGGATCAATGGGATCAATGGCCCCCTTGGACTCATCCTTTAGATGCTATAAATCTTGAATTGTTGCCGTATTTACAATTTTCGTGATTATTACGTATACTTGATTTTTTGTCGTTGCCATAAATAGCAAATTCATGGCTCTTGAGTGCAATTGAATGGAATAATGGTCCCCTTGGATCCATTTACATCACCAATTAATATATGCTATTTAAACAACTTGTTGCCAGCCTTGATTTGATTTGCCTTATATATGATTTCACCACCATTCTGGTTCATCAGCGTTATTACGAGCATTGTTGATATTACAGATCTCATGGGCGTGTCCTAGGAATGGGGAATTCTATGCCATGGCTATGCCAGTCCTTAATAGCAAGATAGCTGATCCAGGTTATTTTTATTCAAGTATTTGGAATAAATGCATCTGTCTTTTTTAGCTGTCTAACATTCCTTGCCCCACAGGAGTGAATGCCGTAACCACCGGCAAACCCGCTGCTGAATTCACTTTGAATCAGCCCATGTCCCTTGGCAAAGGTCCCCTTTAGAACATGAGGAAAGACGATGCCACCAAGTGATCAGCTGGATGGATTTAGTAGTGCTTGATTAATTAATGTCTTGGTTCATTCCAGTGAAATGGTCTCGGAGGCCGGATTCTGAATTGTATTCCAAATCCGTATTGAAGTATCGTATCAGAAGAGTCTTGGGTCTGATAAACTGATAGATTAACAATACACTAACTACACCATTAAGTGTGATTTCTTTAATTGTCTATCAACTGATGTAAAAGAAAATGATCACTGCACTGCTGCTGCTGGTAAGAATTATTACTCAATAATCAACAGAATCATACTCAAGAGTACTGTACTAGAAGTACACAGTGAGAACGTATAGTACTGTTCCAGAAGTACACACCAGTAAGAACCTCAATGTATTTAGAGAAATATTCCATTCACATTTCCAATACAATAGAATGTTCAAGGTACAAAAACAACAGCAGCTCATATGACCCAAGGAGGGGAATTACATGGCTGAAAGTATTCTAACAATATTTACAACTTGCACCATAGCCAACCAACAGCACTAGGCTGTATCTTTGGCAGTATTGCATTTGTAAGAGTGCACACGGTACTGATAATAGGAGCAGTTTGATTGAAATTTCGAAAACTCCAAAAGACAATACTAGTAGTAATTCTCGTAGTCCGCGTAATAAAGATGATTCAATGCTATAATTGCGTGATGTTTCTTGGTTGACTATTTTGACATTGGACTAGGAATAGTCTCCCTGCATGTACCTAATAAGCTTCGGCGTCACGCTAAAACTGACACACACGACGACTTTTCCCGGTGCCACATCGCGGACCATTCGTGTCGAAATGTCTGTTCCGAATTCCTCGTTCAGTTCTTTGCGTCGAAAGACGACGGTCTTTGCGACCTCGATCTGTTCGTTTTCGTCTCGATCACCATCGGCACTGCGATTGCCATGACACGTTTCGTCGGCGAACACGTACGGTGGCAGCAGTTCGTTGGCCACGACGTTGATTGCCATTTCTTCCTCGTCGCCGGCCTTGGGTTCAGAGGAACGCGCAAAGGTATACACATGAAAACGGGGGAACCAAGTTTGGTGGGCGGTGCTCTTTTCGAGGTGACCTTGTTCCAGTCTCTTCCAAGACCACCACCGGAGGGCACCCAGGAAGCGGGGAGCCTCGAGAGGAAAATTCATCAGCACGTGGTCCGGGAGTGGCTTGCGCTTCTGCTCCCATTGTATCCTCTTGGTTCTGTCGTTGCTGTCCTCCGTCGTTCTAGGGGAATCGGCAGCGGCCGGAACATTTTTCGCTGGTTTCCGCCCTAGCTTTCGATTTCTCCTAACCTTTGGGGATGGCGGCATCGGTACCGGCAGTTCTTCCCCCAGCTCGAACAAAAAGTCGTAGGAATCCCGACAAGATAATTCGAATCTGTGGAAACTTTGGATCAAGTTCCCATCGTCTTTTTCCTTATTGTCCATTCCGTTGGCGGCGATGGATTGTTCCATGTACTCGATCGCCTTTGGATTCCAGTCGTTGGCCAGGACGGTCAGAATTGGTGGCTGTGCCCCTTTGCCCTCCTTCTGTTTCCGTGGCAGCAGCTGCTGCTGATGCGACCTGGTCCGTTCCCGGATTTTTTTCGCCAGAAGCATGCAGACCGCACCGGCACCGCAAAAGACGTCGGCCACCACCACCGGGTTGTCACTGCTTGGGTTCGAGCGACACACAATGTCCTTCACGAGTTCCTTGCGTTCCCCCGAGAGCCTCGTGCACCAATAGCACTCCGCCACGTTCAATCGAATGGAAACCCCGTCCTCCACGACGGTCGTTTCGAGCGACGACGACGGATGGTGGTGGGTGGTACTTCCGTCGTCGTTTCGTGCGCTGTTGCGTGCATCCGGCAAAAAGGCATCCGCCAGGATCTGGCACTCGTAGGTTCGGAACTTCCCGTCTACCTTTCCGAGTTTGTTGACGACCGTCTTTATGGAGTTGCTGTTCTGGTGGTTGCTCCCGCCCGACGACGTGGTACTGCTGGCCAGGAGAGCCTCTCCGATCAGCCTGCCAAAGGGCAGGTGCTTCTCCTTCAGGTTGAAGTGTGCCACGTGCCCGATCTGCTCGTAGGCCGAGGGAGGGGGGTGCACCTCCTCCGGGAGGAGTCGCTTCAGCAGGTATTGAAAGCTGAGCTGGTGGTAGGCAATGGGCATGGTTCGGGGCGGGCCCCAAGCAACGGTAGCTTCTTCGCCGCCCGATTCGTCGGATGGCGATGCCAGCAGGCCGGCCAGCCAAACGTCGTCGCCTCCGTCGGTTTGTTGCGGTCCGGGCGGCACGCCCGTGGCCGTGTGGTTGGACGCCCCTTTCGGGACCGACGAGGGCAGGAGCAAGAGCTGTTTGTAGCGCGTGTGGCGGCCCGCGTCGGTCGGGGGTTCGTCCCCTTCTCCGGGTTCGTAATCCTGGACCATCTTGATGCGCGGGTGGACGTGCTTCAGGAATCCCCAGTTGTCGGGCTTGGCCAACCGGTGCTGGAGCTCTGGGTGGGTGATCCACCTGGTGAGCTGTGCCGATGGCACCAACAGCGTATCGAAGGTGATGCTCGGGTTGACCAGTGGCGAATCCTTCCAGCATGGATCGTAGTCTCCGCCGAAGGGCGTCTCGGTGGGTTCCGCGGTCGCGGGGAAACCGGAGTCGCACCCCCCGTCGCTGGTGGCAGATCCCGCATCCGCACCGGCGGTCGAAAACAGGAAGCGCGGCGTCCCCGTGCGGGTGGCTCCCACGGCGGTTCCGATCGCGTGTTGCCGCGAAAAAGGAGAAGAGTGGGTGGTGTGGGCGGAATGGTGGTGCGCGTTGTAGCAGCAGAAGCGGCGTGTCTGTGAATCGTTTCGGATTCGGTGGAACCACCGGTGTTTTCCTTGGTTTGGAACCGGGTAGGAACGCGACACACGGGCGGAACCCACACCTTGTCGAAAGGCTTCTGCCAACAACACCCGGGTTGGCATGGTTGCTGCTGTGCCCCTTCCCTTTCCGCGGATCGTTCTAGAGTGATACGACCACGACATGGTCGTGGTGATGCTTAGTATCGCGATGCACGCGCACGCCTTCCGGAACACGGCCACCAGAGGATGGTGGTTGGAATTCGGGACAACCGGACCGCAGTGGGGAAAATGGCGGCCGCGCTTGCGTCGTCGTTTTGGTTTCGTCGTTGTTGTTGTTGTTGTCTGTGTGTAGATCGGTCGGCCGGGCCTCTTTCTTTCCAATCCACTGCTGCTTCTGCTAGTGTCGCTTTCGGAATATGCCATTGTTCTCTCCGCGGATCGACGCAACAGAATGTTTGAAGTATCGTTCTGTGTGCCGTTCCTATTGCCGGGCCGGGGAAAAGAGTCGACCGATTTCGTGTATCGACGGTGTATCGAGGGACGCGTGACCAACCGAATGGATGGGAATGGATTTTGTTCCGTACCGCTCCACTCCCAAATGGCACAAATGGCACAAATGCACACGCACACGCACTCGCCGATCGATGTTGGTTCAAGCGGTGGCAACGAAGCGAAAGAAGGTGCCGCTGTTTGCAAGCGGACCAGTGGTTTGTTAGACGCTGTGCGAGGAACAAGTAGGACGTGCCGCCCGATCTGTCGCCGCGGTCTTCGGTTTCGTCACAAGCACCCCGGTCGGCCTGGAGAATGTTGCGAACAAAGTCGATCTTGTTGTGCAAGCCAGAAATGCAAGTAATTCATACGGCATCGCAATGAATCACCATCAACGATTCCAACGATGGGTACGAGACGAGTACGAGACGAGTACGAGTACGAGTACACGAGGACGAGTAGTATGATGTGATGGATTCGTACGAGTAAGGAAAACGAGTACGATTACTCGTACGTAGTATTACCGGTACGTATTTTTTTCTTCGTATTCGTGCTGTGCTCATACCACTGGATGGGAATGGTGGCGATACTTGGTACTGCAATGGGCACAGCGTTGCACGACAGAAATGCGAAAACAATTTCTATGGACGGCTGGACAGACGGTGTGAGAACGAAGGTTTTGTTGCAAGTACGAGTACGAGTACTTGGTACTCGTACCTGTACGTAACGGTACAAGTTGCCATCGTCGTATGTAGCATCCCCAACATACTCCACATACCTACGATACTGTAATACGTACGTAGTACGTACCGTTCGGTTTTGCCTTGTCCTTTGTAGTGCAGTACGAGCGCACATACGTACGAACATAGGAGTACTGTAGTACTAACACAACAACATGCTCGTAGCGTACAAGTACGTACGACATATGCAGCACCATACCACATGCACCCATGGAAAATGGATTTCGACTCGAAATAACTCTGCGTAGTAGTCCAGTACTGTACAGTGGGCAGTAATCTAGCGCGCGGTTAGTACTCGGCAAAAACTGAGTAACCAGACGGTTACGTACTGTACGTACCGGGTACAAGTATGCGTAGTCGTACCGGTAGGTTCCACGGTTGCCTTCTGCCGAGTTCCAAGCAACCTCAGTCTGCACAGATCGGTACAATACCGTAGCGTACGTACCGTAGCCGTAGTTTCCCTGCGCTGCGCCTTCGCCATACCAGCCATGGGACGGTTTCCTACCTAAGTGTACTCGTACTTACTCTACGGTACGATACACGTACCATGCCGTAGCGTACTCGTACGAACCTCGTTAGAGCATACAGTACAACACATCGTACTCGTACCGGTACGAGTACCCGTACTGCACCATACCTGTCCGCTACGGTACATCGCATTGTGGGGAAAGGAACTTCGCAACAGCATCCGACAAGTGTGGCGCCAGTACATCCCACATCGACAAACCGGAAGCCCCTATCCTATCCGATCCAGCACACCCCGGACCCACCGGCGGAGGTGTTCTCCGGACCGAAGCCGAGGCCACCAAAAGCGTCAGAGCGGCCGACCGGCAGGCAACCCAACCCAATCCAATCCAATCCCGACGGAACGGAACGGAACGAAATGCACCCGGCGAGGATCGCTTCCGCCCTTCGCCGTCCCGGGCGGTCCGGGGTGGCCGCTTCCGCCTCCCTGCACCACCGCCGATCCCTGGCTTGCGCAGCGACGAAAAGGTGGGCCGGAGCGGGGGATGCCGGGCGGAAACGGAGGAGGCCCGCCTGGACCACCGCTTCGGCGAGCGGGCGTTTCTGTTTCCCGATCGCCAGCGGCCGCAGAAGCCTCGGCACCACGGCGGCCGGAGGCCCGGGGCTCTCGACACCGCCGGTGGGTTCGGAGGACCGCCCGGTCTGGCTGAAGCGGCTGGACGAGGACCCCTCGGCCCCGATGGAACCCCAAGCGGTCTATCGGTACCTCGGAATGAAAGACTACACCCGCGAGGAACTCGAGGACCGCTTCCGGGGCATCGCGGGAGGGAGCCCGGCCGCACCCTTGGAGAAAGATGGCGCCGGCGGCGGGCCAGGCACGGAGGGTTCCCCCGGACAAGCGGGCCCGCGTTTCGACCGGGACCGGCTCCGGTCCTACCTGTCGCAGCGGATCCGTGCCGAGGAGCGCGAGGTCTTTTCGGACCCTTCGGCGGTGGAACCAAGGGGGGACCGGACCGAGCACCTGCGCAGCGCGTACATCGAGGCCGAAACGAGGCGGCTGTGGAATTTTTTGCAGGGGGGCGAGGATCCATGCCCCGACCGCACAAGGGAACAAACGGCGAAAACGAAAACGGCGACGACCATGGCCGTGGAAACCGCCTGCGATCGGGTGCTGGTGTCGGCGAGGGCCGTCGACGGCCAGAGGCTGTGGCCGCTGACCCTGAGCATGGTCATGATCGGTCTCAGCGTGGGGGTCACCACCCCCGCCTTTCCCTTTGTGGTCCAGAACCTCGGGCTGAGCACGGGGGAGTACGGGATGGTCGTCTCGGCCTTTGCCCTGACCAAGCTCTTTGGGAACATTCCCTTTGCGGTGCTGGTGGAAACCAACGGACGGAAGGTGCGTTGTCTTGTGTTGTGTCGTGTTGTGTTGTGTCGCCCGGTGTTTGTTTCTTGTCTGGCAATGGTAGTAGCGTGCCTGCAGGATTGTGAAACTCTCGGATCCGTGGTTCGATGCCCCTGCCACGCCATCTTTCTCGGTGATTCCCATCCCTAACAAAAACACACTAACTCCTCGATTCGCGCAATCCTTTCCCCTCGTATCGCTCGTCGGCTCGGTGTTTTCCTTGGCTTCTCACGAAACAAACCAAAACCAAATCCAACCGCGGCAACCCAATGGAAACACAATGGAAACACAACACAACACAACGCAGCCGTACCTGGTCTACACGATGATTGCCATTTCGACGGGCGTCGGCTGCATCGGCCTGGCCTCGGGATTCGAGGAACTCTACGCCTGCCGGCTCGTCACGGGGCTTGGGGTGGCGGGCCTCTCCTGCGCGGCCACCATGACCGTGACGGACATCTCCACCCCCCTCAACAGGGCCTCGAGCTTTGCGCCCATTTCGGCGGGCTTTGCGGCGGGGACCGCCCTGGGACCCGCTCTGGGGGGCGTCCTCATCGACCAGATCGGGGTCAATCCGACCTTTTACCTGGTGGGGGGGTCCTTCCTCATGCTGGGGGGTGTCAACTCCTTCCTGCTCGATGAGACCCTCCGGAAGCCCAACCAAAGCTTTCCCTGGAGGGAAGAAACCAAGACCGAAAGCAAGACCGACGACGACGAAGGATCGATCAAGAATGCCTTTCACAAAGCCCTTGGCCAATGGGTACCCCTCTTGTCGGAAGCCCCGGTCCGAAGCGTTTGCATCATCAACGGCTTTTACTGGGTGGCCCTGGCCGGCAGCCAGATGACCCTGCTGCCCCTCGTTCTGACGGATCCCCACGGGCTGGCCATGACGGCCACACAGGTCGGACAGGTCTACATGGGGATGAGCTTTGTCCAGGTCTTTGGCAACCCGCTCTTTGCCAGGATCGTCGACCGGGCCGGGACCGTCCCGGGCATCGTCGGGGGCTGTTCCCTCATATCGGGGGCCATGTTCGCACTCCCCCACGCCACCGCCTCCGGTGATCTCGGCCAGATGGCGGCCGTCCTCGGGGTCTGGTCCGCGGGCTCCTCGCTCCTGTCCACGGCCCCGATCGCCCACATCAGCGACCGGGTCGACGACGCCAGGCGGGCCCAGGCGATTGCGCTGCTGCGGACGTCGGGGGACGTGGGCTTTCTGGTCGGAGCCTCCACCATGGGGCTCCTGTCGGACTGGACCGGGGGCCTCGACACGGCGATGCAATCGAGCGCCGCGATCCTGGCGACGGCGACCTCCTGGTACTGCGTCCGCAGCGCCATGACGTCCCGACAGAAACAATAGCTGGCGCATAAACTAACTAACGACCGAACGAATTAGGAAAGAAACGGAGGACTGGTGCAAAGAATCGTGAAGAAGGCAACTGCGAACGATAGGACGGCGGGCAATCATGCATGCACTTGTGTGGAACAAATGTCAGGACCAGGTACCTATCCCGCGAGAATCACCATGATCTGCTGGCGTGGCTGCCATTCTTGCAAGCAAAACATATGATATCCATAGCGCAAGTTCTTTCGTTCAGTTCACACATTCTTATGCTAGTTTCTGTTGTAGGCGAGCATCTCCAAGCAAGGTATTAAATTTTTGTCAGTCTGTATGTATATGACTATCAGTGTATTAGGGAACAATCAACTCGATTGAAGACAAAACTATAGTTCCATGCCTTTTACCTAGCGAGGCGTTTTCATTACGTCGGTGATTTTACACTATGTGTATGATACGTACCGCTGGGTTCCCATAAAACGAAAGGTCGTATTACTCTTTGTCTACCACCTTCGCGTTAGACGAGGAAAGACCCAGGCTATGATTCTGCTCGTTGAAGGAGTGAGCACCGTAAACAGTTACCGCATGGTAAAAATGGAGGAGGCAGGAATCGAACCTGCGACTTGTCGCATGCAAAGCGACCACTCTACCCCTGAGTTACACCCCCGTGAGATACAAAGGGAGGGAATCGAACCCCCGACCTCAGCTGTGTTAAAGCCGCGTCATAACCAACTAGACCACCTCTGCGTGTGCTTGCCAAAGTGGTCATCTTCTGCATATATATACAGATGATCTTGATATATTTATATAATGAAGCTTTCTTTCTGTGCTATTACAATAGTTCCAAATTAGAGACCACTGCACTGGCTAGGATCATCACAGTACTTTTGGTATATTTAATACTGATTAAATTTACAAAAAAGATAGAATAGCAGATTGAAATATCTCACGCCGCCCCAACAACCATACCATTTAAGAGTGGTAATGGGCTTTCCTATTCCTTTCCTCTCTACTCTTTTGCATCACCTCGTCCCCTGGTGGATATGGAGGACAGATTGTGTCCCCAGCAAACTCAGCATAAACAAGCTTTCTCCATTTTGTGAACAGTTCAACCTTTTTAATGTCCTTAATCACAGGAGCTGGGTGTGTTTCAAACAAAGTCATCACACAAAGCTTGTACTAACGACAATTGACACCAGTAGCAGCAGGTCTTCGTAGATTTTGGAAGCTGTCCTCTACTGTTCCTAGACAATCCTGTTTAATTATCATTGTTGTCAATCCCTTCCATTTGTTGACTATACATGCCCTGGCTGTACTAGACCTCCTTGGATCTTTTTGTAAAACTTGTTCAAGAACTGGTCAAACCTTTTGAAATCACTGCTGTCCTTCATCTTAGTAACAGATATCTGACCACTTGATTGTAGAGCAGTAGCTAGTTGACCCATTGTAAATATATTCTGGCAACAATAGTTCTTCTTCATTGAATTGAACGACCTATCTGCAACATTTTTTGTATTTCCTGCAACATAAGAAACAAAAGAGAGCTTCTTGAAGTATTCTGCTTCAACCAAAAGAAGTGCCAGTTGAATCACCGTGTTGTTCTTATTCTGTCCTTGGCAATTGTCCATGATTATATTCAACTCTCCTCCACAGCAGTCTTCCTTTAAGTACCCTTCCTTCTTGAGGTTCATCAGTAACATTGAAGCAAAGTTGTCTCCTCCCTTAGCACCAAGCCCTTCGTAATATACAAAAGCGTCAAGCCACGTCCCACCCAAATAAGAGCAGTCAATACAACCAAATATTGGTATAGTTAGTGGTTTCATGTAATATGTGTCCCCTGGCTGTGTGGCTCCAAGATTGGGGAGACCCGCATTCTGGGAATAATCCAGTGGATGGTGACCTGAAGATTGTAAGGATCAAGCCATCAAGATCAATGAGATTGCAGTGAATTGCATTGTGCATGATCATCCTAATCATAGTAAAGATCTGTTCTTTGTTGTAATCTTCATCAGAAGAATCATCTTCATTGGTGTCTTGTGAATCCTAGATTCTGATGGTTGTAGGATGGGCACTTCCTAGAACAGACACATGACTGCCATCATCAAGAGATATATTTTGCTCAGCATCTACTAGATCAGCTACATCAACTATCTGCTGCGCAATATGAATCCAAGGCTTCTTCATAGAAGAGGAAGGTATAGTAGGTGGTTTGACAGGCATTGTTGTTAATCTCTCTTGAGGAACTGCAACAGCAGAGGAAGACAACAAGAAAGCAGGAGCAGCAGTTGGAGCAGCAGCAGTTGTCAAGGATGGATTACCTGGAATTCCTTCACAATATGGCTCTTGTACTTCAATGCTGTTATCAAAAAGCTCTTGAGCAAGCAAATTCAATAAATGTAGAATATGGGGGGACAAGTTTTACAAACAAGGCAAAATTGCACCAGCACGAGTAAACAAAGAACACATCATCATACATACAGCAAATTGACACTTACTCTTACTCTGTTGTAGAAACTGCCATGCCAGTACTCTTGAATAACCTTGCAATGTCTCCAGTGTTCCCTTGAACCAGACTTCTTGTTGTCCTATCCCACAGCTCCCTCTGTCTTCAGGTGATTCCAATAATAATAAGTAATAAACTGCTTGATTGTGCTTAGATTACTGCTGTAGTTCTTACTATCTAGAGGTGGCCCTTTCTTTATCTTGCTTAAGGATCCAAGTGTCCTTGCCATTGAGTGCAAGAATTGTAATATTCTGTGCTGAAAACTAAGACTACTATATTGCTTTCAGTGGATTTACATGATACACCACCGTACAGTAATAACTTTTGTTTTCACGTACAACCCCTTCTACTAAACACAGTTTCCAGTCATTCTCTTTGAGCTGAGGCTACAGGCTTATTATCAGCAAGTCTCTTTATAACCCTGCTAGTTTCCCACCTACACCACCATGACCACAAGATGAGCGAAGATGACACAAGTTCCTCCAGATCATCTTCTTCTTTCCACGCTTCTCTTATTTACCCTACACGGGTTACCTTTGTCAGCAACAGCAAGGCACTTATCATTTGACTCCAATCCAGATGTGAATATACAGAAGTCTATGCTAATGCTACCCTAGCACCAGAATTTGACMTGATTGAACAGATTTTTCAAATCCTTCAGATTCCTTTCCTCACATACTCCTTTTCTTGGGTGAAAGGCCATCAAGATGACACCATTGCCTTTGATTGCCTCCCTCTGCCAGCTCAACTGATGGTTACACTGGAGATTTTCAAGCCCAGATGACTACGCCAACTTTTATCACACCAGTGCTACCTTCTTGCCCAGCAGTTCTCCAGATCCAGTCTCGATACGTCAACAGCCAATATAAGAGAGCTCTCACAGATTCTTGTTTGATCCCCCAATATCACACTTATTTGTGAGATTGGAACCAGTGGCCCCAACGAGTTCTTGCTGATATTTCCTGGAAGTCTCTGAGCATTGCCATCCACCGTATCTCCAGGGATGTCTTGGTCACTAAATGTTGCAACCATATCCTACCCACTGCCACTGTTCTCAAACGGTGGAATTATCAACAACAGGATACTTGTTGTCTTTGCCAGTTGCCTGAAGACTCTGAGCATCTCTTTTGCTGTTCCCACCCATCACACATCAGATGGCAACAGCAGACTATCTCCTCTCTACAACAATGTATGATGTCTACACTTGGCTTCCGACCAATTGCCATTGACATTCTTGCCACATGTCTCACCGAATGGTTAGACATTGGCATAGTTGCTCCAGAGAAATATCCTGTATCCCTTCATCCAGTTATCCATTTCCAGAGTGAGATTGGTTGGCACCACATGTTTGCCGGTCACATTGCACTCCAAGTGGGTTACTGACCTTGATCTTCATTCCAGCTCTTACTCTCCCCTAGTGTTGGGAGGCTATCTCGTGGAATTCTTTCTTACCTCCTATAAGGATCTCCATGGCTATACACTTTCACAGAAGAAGCAAGCAAAGCATCAACGGCAAGTGGTGATTAAAGTTCGGACCTTATTTGCATTGAAATCTCAGACCTGTCCGTCCCATGCCCACCTATTCCCAGAAGCTATGGAAGCCTTCTTATTGCAGACACCTACCTCCATGCTCTCATATTACCATCGAGTCTATGAGAAAACGATTCTGGCGAGTGTCACTCAAGCTACAAGTGCTTCAGTCTCCAACACCCGCCCTATTACCCAGTACTTTACACCATTGCCTCCTCATAGTAAACAACCACCAGAGAGTGTCACACAAGATGGGCTAGTCTTTGACATGTACTCCAAGAAGAAAAGACACAAACCCTCTGCACCACCAAAGATTTCTTTGGTCTCTGTTGCAACCAACCGTACCATGCAAACTACTATGAACAAATATTTCTCCTAAATCCCTAGCCCAAACCAAAACCCTGTTCGCACCTCCACACAACCTCCTCGGAGGGAGGCGCTGCCCCTCGGAGCAGCTAGAAGCATTCTTTCTAACGAAAGCTATGGTTCTGGCCATCTAAGTGCCTCTTCTAATTCACGAGGTTAAATATAATATTAAGATTTTTTAAAAAACACAGTTTCCAGTCATGCTTGATATACTACTATAGATATATAATATACTCAGAATTGTTTAATTCTAACAATGGAGAACGATAAAAGCCAGTTAGTGACAACAATGACTGTATAAAAAGTTACAGCAACTAAGGAATTTATAGAAGCATTGCTACTATGAGTTACATACAACAATGGGCTTATTTGTAGTTCAGCTCTTCATGATAGCTTAAGGAACTTCAAGGAGTAGTAATAACAATTTATTAAAAATTAATTAACATAATAATACTAATATGTATTAAGGTGTTCTCAAAAGTTTTTTAATCAGGAGGAGTTTAAAACCACAAAATATCCTAAACCCAAAACAGTAACAAGTCATGGACGCTTTGTTTCTAGGTTGCATGTGATGATGTTGCACAGTTTTATTTTAATTTTAATCAGGACTGCTGGTTTGTTAGTTGATCAGCGGCTCTCCAGTGTTTGCACCAGGTTTAGACAGTTTTGCAAAGAAGAACGCTTCTCAAAGCAAAAAGGGAACTGCTCATACAAGTCTGAACATGAACGGAGTAAAACGACACCGGCAGGGTTCGAACCTGCGCGGGATAAACCCAATGGATTTCAAGTCCATCGCCTTAACCACTCGGCCACGGTGTCCACTTGACGTTGGAAACGTCTCTACTCTCGGTGGGGATCGAACCCACGACCTTGGGTTTATTAGACCCACGCTCTAACCAGCTGAGCTACGAAAGCGATATCACGGAAAGTCCTGTCGTGGTGAGGGAAATATACCTATAAAAATACTATTCATACCTCAAAAACTTCAGCAAAACTTTCTTGTTCCGCTTTTATTAAACCAAATCATGTCTTTCTACAATAGTGAGGGTCTGAAGGGAGGTAGTTCGAATTACTCACTACCAACTACCATGTGTTACTAGTAGTAGGAGCTCGGTACTTAAAACCATTATGGCTGTGTGCACGATACATATCAACTGAAGTCCTGATTGTTGTTGATTGTACTACTACTACTAGTAGTAGTAGTAGTGATATTAGTGCTACTACTAGTACTACTAGCTAATCTTGCGCCATCGACTCTGAGAAGTTGCTGTAACACACAAGTGGGTTGTAGTTGTACGGCACACCCACTGAGTCAGTATGGGTGCTGTGTGGCGACGCCTTACGATCCGTGCTACAGATCGGCGGACTTGGATTCGTCCGCCCGCTGTCGCTCTAGCCTGCGTCGCTGCTGGTTGGCCTTACGCAGAGCCTCCCTCCGCTCGTATTCTGGGTTCTTCCCGACCCCGAACATGGGACAGGTCTTGCACCCCCGCGTGGGGCAATTGGAGCAACGCGCGGATGCGTTCCCGGATATTGTCTGGGGGGCAGTGAACTGACTGGAGGATCCCGTGGAAGCCATGTGGGCGCTTTCGCCCTGGTTGACCAGTCGGGCCTGGTTGTTGATCTTCTGGCCTCGACGGTCTTTCTCCAACGTGACTAGCTCCTCGTAGGGGACGTAATGGATGCAGTCGACCGGGCATGTCTCGATTGCGGTCGCTACCGTCTCGTCCGTATCTCCCCACTGTTGATAGACCCGTGCCCGGCCAAAGCCCGACTCCATGAAGAAGGTCGACTGGGCAATCGTCGCGCAGTTGGTGCAACCGATGCAGGCGTGCTCATCTACGTAGACCATTTGCTGTCGGATGGGCTCCCCCGTGTCGGGATCGATCTCGACACGTGTGTGCGATTCAATCGAGTCGTTTTCTTCGTCGTATTCTGCCCCGAGCTCGTCGTAGATACCTTTACGGTATTCGGCAAGCCCCGAGGGCTCGTCCACCTTCTCCCTGGAATCGTCGACGGCGACTCCAAAGGTGTTCGCAATGGTGGTGTCATCGAAGCCCCATTCCTTCATCTGTAGAGCTTTTTCGGCGCGCTCGTTGTCGCGCTGGTTGAATTCGATTTCCTCGGCCGAGATGGCCTGAAGTGTGTCCAGCCAGGCCTCCGAGTCATCGACAAGAAAGTCGTTCCCGTCGTCGTTCCTGGAATCACTGAGGGCAGAACAATCGCCTTCTTCGTCATCAATGGACTCAAAGGTTGACCAGGCGGTTCCATCGATGGGTGTAGCCCAGTCGCCGTCGTCGCCAATGCCATCGTTGTTCTTGCTATTGCTCCGGGAGGAGGATGTCCATTTGTTGGGATCGCTTGCGCCTTCGCTCCAATCTTCCGACATGCTCAGGCTGGCATCATCTTTGGTTGAACCCAAGCGTAATCTGCTACTCGAGGAAGCTAACACAAAAGAAAACACAGGAGACATCATTTTCATCGAAACCAGGAGCAAGGAAGCTCCAAGTAGCGCCATCCATTTGACCTTTATCTGCCTCGACATCTTTCTCTAAGGGTCGCCAGGAATTGGTGGACGACTAGCTGCTACAAACGATTTTTGTGTCCTAATTTCGTTTTGTTACGTCATGGTGCCATATTTTTCTCTTGTACGTTACAGTGGGGGTACTCGTAAGTACCGGTACGTGTTCTTTGTCTCGACGTGCTTCACAGGTATCTTTTCTGGTTTGAATTAATGTAAGAAGTAGTAGTACAGTACCATACGGTACTTCGGTACTGTGTGTACTAATTCTACTCGTTTTCTCACGAGCCTTTGGGAAGTTACCGGTACATTACGCTAGGGCTCTAAAGTATGAGTACAACGAGTACTGTTCGAACGTTACGTTCTGTACCGTACTGTAGTAGAAGTCATGTACTGTACTTCGGATTATTGTAGTTGATTGATGAAACCCAAAAAAATAGCATTGTTAAACATAAAATCTCGACACAACAGTCAGATATCGAAGCCTTGATAGCTCAGTTGGGAGAGCGTCAGACTGAAGATCTGAAGGTCCTGTGTTCGATTCACAGTCAAGGCACTCGATGTTATCCGATATGATGTAGGTGGTTAGCATACTTGCCTTTCACGCAGGATACCAGGGTTCGAGTCCCTGTATCGGAATTTTTTATTTTTTCCCGATCGGGTGTTTACTGCGATACCGTGCTACTGCTAGTAGTAGAGTGGTAATACTATTTCATACATCCCTATCAAGACTGAACTGTTACGAATATAATTTTGAATAAATACTTCCTCTGGTCCAATATGTGTCATTGTAACCTGTTTCTGTTGGTCCTATGTGTCTCCACTTTACTTTAATTTTTTTGAGTTTTTTGAAAATTGGATTTTACGAATGACTGTGTAGTAGTAGTACTGGTAGAAGAACATTAGTACTGAGAGGACTAAAAATGTGCATGGGCACGAATAAAAATTATTTTATTTTTTTACAAATGAAAATACCCTCTATTAACATGGGGAAGTAAAGTTTGCATTGACAATGGTGATGGGCACCTGTTTTGAACAAGAAGAATGACTGATACAAGAAAGTTCTCCTCCATACTGAAAAAGACAATTGCAGCCTAAGAATGGTGTGTCGCTCTTAGCCATCATGTGTAAGTAGCAGTGTATCAAAATGACTGTTAGAACTCGACTAATGGTATTATCATATAGGCCTGTTTGAAGGCTTATTCCTTGATTGCTGCTGGTACAAAATTAAAGAAAGGCGTAGTAATACATTCAAACAGTATTAAACAAGATCAACATACTAATAAAAAAGAATCATTCAGGTTGCCCTAATATTGAGCTTATTTCAACAGTAAACCTGCCTCAATGACACATATAGTGGACTGGAGGAAGTATATAATACTATTCATTTAAAACACATCACTACACCTGGTGGTTGAGGTTACTTTAATGCTCTTTCCTTTCAGCAACATTGCAACTTCTGCAAGAATTCCATGCCATTTTCATACTTATCCCTGGCAACTTCCTCAATCTCCTCACTGATGAGTTAGGATACMTATGCTTTGCTTCAACTACACAGACAACAAGATAGATTCTTTTCAGCACTCCTTCATGGGGGCTGGGGTTGGTGTTATTGCATTCCGGCACGGATGCCGGAAACAACAACAATCGTGACCGGAAAGTACTGAGGAGCTTCCGGTCGTTGAGAACTGGGAATGGATCCAGGGGCAAACTGTAGCCAGCTGGGGGGAGGGTCAATATACTTGGAATAGTCTTGGTTAGATTGCTTGGTTGATTGACTGGAGCCAAGGAGGTGGATTTTCCCCTTCCGAAGGGGGTGTCACCATGGTTCGGAAGCTTGAAGGAGCTTGTCACATAGGAATGTAGGTAGGAATTAGTAGGAATTCTAGGTGATAATTTTCACAAGCGAAGTGTAATTTTGTGCATTTGAAAAAATTCGATTTGAAAATTATATTGCTGCACTCTTTACAGGAAGGGGGAGACCTGGGGTAATTTTCACAAGCAAAGTGTAATTTCGTGCATTTGAAAAAATTTGATTTGAAAATTATATTGCTGCACTCTTTACAGGAAGGGGGAGACCTGGGGTTGCACCTCCTCCAGGTGATGTATACTGGACAGTGTGTGTGGGGAGGGACCACCCCTCTGCACCATCACTCAACTTCTTGCCATTCTATGCTCCTACCATAATACCAATACAAGATTTGTTGACATCATTTGGCTGTTACCAGTCTCAACATCCTCAGATGAAACCCAAACTCCTGCTTGTTGGAGATAATTGTGAATGATACTTCCATTAGTACTAGTAGCAGTAGTCCTACTAGTAGACATAGCTGATCTACCCCTCTTGTTGGGTGGACTTGGATCAGTACTGGTGTCTTACTTGTAGTTGTTGAAAGAATCCCACATGATTCCTGACACCAGCAGATTGATTCTGAGTGACAGTGTTGTTGCATTCTTCTTCATCCTTATTCTTGTTGTGTGCTTCTTCATCACCACCATCCAAAGACATCATGTGTGTACCAGCAGGAGGAATTTCAGTGGGACTCATGAGATTTGAGGAGTCCTGGAGAAGACATTCTGATTTATCCTGTTCCAGATCAGATGAATCAGAGAGGGCACAGTCAAGGAGTTTGTGAATTTTGTTGTCAAAGGGACCATTGTAGTAGTAGTAAGGGGCATCAAAAAGATGTCCAGGAGAAGCGTTAGTATTATCATCACTGGAAACACTGCTGTCATGTTGGGAGGTACAGGAGGGGCTCCTACTGCAAGGGTGTGGCTCACCACCACTGTTGTCAGATAGATCTGTGTCACTAGTACCACCATATGAACAATTGTCATCACCATCAGGAAAAGAATCATCACAGTCCATCATGGTGGTGATATGATTATTTGATGTTGGGGTGATAGTTTATATTCTGGTTTGGATTGCTTTACTTTCTTGTTTGGATATTACTATGAGGATAGAAATGAATGAGCAGCAGAAAAGATGTTATACAAAGTGATTGTTTAAACTTTTTTGGTATTTCAGTCTTGTTATTTTGTGTAGTATTTGTACTGCAGTCTACACTGGAAGTGAAAATCATGAAAACTCAAAGAAAAAAATCCCAAAATGCATATATTTGGCAGGCACAGGAAAAATATAAGGATTGAAATTTTTGTCTCCTTTTTGAGCATGTTATGTTGGAAGACCTACTATACATACTGTACTAGGAACAAAAGCAAATGAAGTTGCAATGACAGGTTGGTGGGGATTGGTACAAATCTTACAGGGTTTTTGCTCCTACTAATTTGTATGCAAGAAGCTACTGCAGATACGGACATGTTGATATACCAGATGACTCTTTGACAAACCCTTTTGTCCAATCTATTTGAGATTTCCAGATCCCTGTCATCTTCTTATTGTAATCAAGTTATTCCAGTGTGTGTGTTGAAGGGAAGTTTTGTTTGTTATAACCTAGTATGTCTGGAGGGTGAGATAAACCTGAAATTGGTGTTTTTTAACTATGAAAAACTGCACATTTTTATTGTATTGATCGTGACCTCTTATTCCAGATTTGCATTGTGTCATACTGCATTGGGTGGATACAAGCTAAGGGTACCATTTGTACCTAAGTATCATATGGTCCATGGTGCTTGGGTATCTATGATTATAGCCTAGCATTTTACGAATACCGTTTTTTCTGTGCAGCATACTGCTGTTCTCATAATCTTGTGGATCCATAAAGAACAATGATGTCACAAGTCAAGAAAAATAAGAACCCCATGTAGATCCAATACTGGGATCTACAAGGAACCTAATCAGAACTGAAGAACTCACACCAGCTCAACACACAATAGCACGGTGACACTTTAGTAGTACTAGATACTGGAAATAACTACATAATTTTCATTTTTACACACTTTCATAGTGCACACACATTTGCTGCCTTCCTACTACCTCAATGGTAAAAGGTAGTTCTCCTTCTTTGAAAGTCACAGCACCTTTTTTCATGAGTCAAGAAGAACTTTGCTGAGTGATGGACTTCTACTTTCATTTGTACTGACACATTTTTTATTTATTCCGACAATAGATAGTGAAGCAGGGGACAATTGTTCTTCATGTGCGATAGTCATGCATGAACAAAAGTGGAAAAAAATAATCTGCAATCGAACGCTCTACCTCTGAGCTACAGGTGCGAGACAGCACCCGACGTGAATCGAACACGTGACCATTCGAACTCTGCTATCTGGTGCAAGCAGCGGATTTAATATTTATCAACTTGATTAAAATTCACAATCGTCGTCGCACTTTTTCCTTCTTTCAATTATTTTTTATCGTACGAACCGGTACATGGTACGAGTGCGGGTACGAACCGTAAGCAAGAATTTAAGAGAGTTGTTATCGCTGTTACTTTTCTTTGTTGTTGTTGCCTGAAGATGAATCTTGGTAATAATAGTAATGATTACTGTACTTTACACTGTCGTAAGTAGGTTCTCTCCGTCGAAAGACGAGCTAAATACTCCCATGCCATAGGAGGGCTTTCGTTTCCGGTGATTGCGTTTGGGAACATAAGGTAAGCGAGCAGCTTTTTGTATTGCATAGCCTTCCGATACAACACGACAAAACGACAATCAATGGTAGTGATTGGTTTGTAATAACACGTCACATATACGAGCGAACGGATTCGAGTGCAGCAAGGAAGGAAGGAATGAACAACCGACCACTCGTCTCCATCGATTCGATGACTCAATAATCACACTGGTCCCTTTACTCGACCAATCGCAACAATCACGGTACATAACAAAGAATACGGCATTACGAAAACAAAACATGTCACATCACAACTTTTTCTTATCTGCTAGGTGCAAATCTCGTTTTTGGATTTCGCCTTGGTCAACCACTAGATTACGAGTAGTATTATTGCATGGTAGTATTGTCTTCATCGTACTGCAATCGTGGTCCCTCGATTGCTCACTTGGTTGATTCATTCCTGCTCCTTCTACTTCGCCGCAGCTGCAGAGTGCGTGTTGTGGTTCGTACAAATTCTCAGATTTGAGTGTCGTTTCGGTTCGGTTCGGTTCGGCTACTATTATGTTTGTTTGTTGGGTCGCGTGCACTGGTCTGGTTCGACTCGGATCTTCTCCATGTCGAACGACCGACGTCGTTAGTTGATGGCTAGTATGTATTATTAGTGTCGACAGTAATGAATGTCATTGTCGTTGGTTATAGACGGTCTTCCCGTGGTCTGCTGCTGAGACTCCAAATCTCGCAACGATCACGGGCTTTCTTTCCTTCTTCGGGGTGGCTAGCGGTTTGAATAAAAGAAAAATTGGTTTGCTTGCCTGTCTGCCTTTGCCCCCGATACTTTGTGGCGTAGCTTTGCATTGCTACATTGAACTAGCCTGGTTTGAGAAACCCACCGATCAGCTGGCAAAGAAGAATTCTTCGTCGAAATCGTAATCGGCGAGCGAGGCCGGAATGGTGATGTCGGGTACAGCGTACATGTCGGATTCGCCTTCGCCATCGGCGGCAGAACTGTCGCTCGCAGCAGCAGTGGCGATCATTTCGTCGTCGCTGCCTTGGTCTTCTTCGATACTTGCGTCAATAAAGTCGAAGCCGAATGCCTGGTCTTCGTCGTGCTTATAGTTGCAATCATCATCGTCGTCGCTATTGATGGTGTAGGGTTCGACACAGGCAGTAATGGGAAAGGCCGAATATGGATCGAGATTGAGGACTCGGACCGTAGTGGAAGTCCTCTGAGACGTATCAAGGACAGCAAAGAAAGGCCTCTCTTTACCATCTTCGATGGACAGCTCTATGACCTGCAAAATCTCGTCGCAGCCATTGCTGGTGACCTCGATACGGGCTTGGCAAGACAATCCCCTGGTCTCGATCAGGACCTGGACCGAATCGACGTTTTTTTCGAATTCGAAAAGCTCTTCGCTGGAGGATTGTTCGTTCCCGGACGCATATTCTACCGGAGACGTTCCCTCAATCTTGCGGAGATCGCCAAGGTCACGAAGTTTCTCCGCAAAGAGCCCCAGACCGGAGGTCGGTCTCTCCTCGTGTCTTCCTGCTCCGAGGGTTGTTCTAGCCGGTGTGGGATCGACGCTGTTGTAGAATCCGGTGTATCCTCCTTGTTGCAATGGTTGTGTATTGGGATCCGTATGCTGGCGTTCGCGTTCGCGTTGTCGTTTTCGTTGTTCCCGAGCGGATTCGACGTCTGCGATTGCCACCGCCTCGATGGGAAACTCGAACGGACCTGAGTTTTTGATTCCAATGCTCTGATGGTTGAAGCCAGGAGTTGGAATGACAAAGGAGAAGGGCTGCTGGGAGAGCGATTCGGCACAGTAGACCGCCAATTTCATGGGGGCGTGCCCGGGCCCATTATAAACATCGATTTGTGCCCTCAGGGGGCTATCCCAGTGGGTGCTCTTGAGCAAGACCTGCGTGTGGTCGACCTCAGGTGCCCCTATGGCCCAGGTTCTCAGTGCTCCGCCCTGGATGCACTTGGCTGTATTAGTGTCCCAAATGCTGGGCTCTAGGGGTGCGGTAGCGGGTACATCCTCGGAGATAAAGGCATCGTCAAAATCGGGACTAAGTTCCTTTCGTATCCTCGTATTAGGAGACCTTTTCGGTCTCGCGTGAGTTGGTGTGGGCGTCGTCCGCGTCGACGTTTGAGAGCTGCCCACGTCTGTTGGAAGGACAACCTCCTCAACGACAATCGCATCGATGACGTCTGGCTTTCGTTTATGCTTGCGAAGAATGTCAGGGCCGATTCCGGTTTCGTAGTTCTCTTTGATGTATCCGAGGGCCGTCCCTCCTTTTTCGATCGATGGTAAGTGTGTCGGTAAGAGTCTTGGTCGATGAACGAAGGCGTAGGTGGACGTCGATGCCACGATGACATAGAGCGTGAGTGCGTTGCTGGAAATCTGCATGATTGATGTGGTGTAGCGTGATACAATTGAATTGCTTCTTGTAGATATGAATGCGATGCTCTTTCTATTAGGGTTATAGCCTGTCTTCTGTGTAGGTTTCTGTCGACATGTGTGCTATGATGTGTGGAGAAGGATGGGTTTCTTTTTTGGACACTAGCGATGATGATTCACCGAGACGGTTTCTTCTTCCACTCGTAAGCTCGCACCCCTAAATTCAAAGAAAGTATGTGTCTGCATAAAAGAGAAATAAAATGCAATTTTTTCAATGGACGGCACAGGACGAAGGAAAAAATCCTTAGTACGAAAGCTACAGTACCGGTAAACGAAGAGAAAGAACAGAAATTACTTAAAAATCGTTGCTTCCCAAAAGTAGCATCATGTGTCTTCGTTCGTGACAGCAACGGCGGAATTTTGAAAAAAAAAACCGCGCAGCCCGAGTTGTGTGACAGATGCAAGGGTCGACGGGCTATAGGCCATGCGCACTCGTTCTATCTCACATTCGATACCGTATAAATTTTATTTTCAAAAAGCAACAGACGCTCGAAATTCGGAAATTCAGAAAGTGCATGCTCGTACGACAAGAACAGTTGACGGCGATCAGATGGCATTAGAAACAAAAAAGGTTCGCGCCATGCACATAACACAACGCTGTAATGTGCGAGGTAAATATAAAAAGGCGACACACCGTGTCGTGTGAAGGGGGTTTGGCGCAGTTGGCAGCGCGTGTGCTTAGCATGCACAAGGTCGCCGGTTCGATTCCGGCAATCTCCATTTTTGCGAAGGTCTCGTATCCGTTCGTCTTTTGTCCAACGGGGATGCAACAATATCATACCGGTAGAAAGATCAGTTACCAAAGGAACTACTGGTACTGCATTTGCTGAATTGAATACTGACGTTAGAACCGTTCTAAGAGACACATACCATTGGCATTGCATATTGTACATTCTATCTTATGGAAAATACACTTAGTAGACATCAAACGGCAGGATTAATTTTCAGTTTGGAATAATTTATTGGGTTTCGTTTCCCTGAGCTTGTTCAGCATCCGTGACAGTGGTACCAATCCATGACCAGCTGCACGACGTACGACACCATATCGTCTGTACGTGGACAAAACTTGAACATTCGCGCCTCGCGGCGCTTCTCGACTGTGTCGCCAAATTTTATCTCCCAGGGCATGATCTGCTGGAGTGCAGAGGGTTCAAGTTGCTGCCATAGTTCCTCGTGAGTATAAGGACCAAAGTTGTTGTTGTTTTGTTTTTTCTTGCCGTTCCCTCTTCCGTCGTCAAAGTAGACAAACGAATGGCGTAGGCCTGACTGGACGGCCAGGGATCCAAAGTAGTACGGTATGGCGTAGTTTTTGGGAAAGAATTCTAGTACCTGCCTGCATCGTGTTGTTTCCCCGCCTGCCATGAATGGAAGGCCAGTCAGCTGGGCGCCGTGCCCCGACACGAGAATGTCATTGCTCCGAAAAAAATCAACCTGCTCTTCCAGGCTCTTGTTCTCGAAATACACTACATTCACAGGGCTGGTTAGATTGTGTACATGAGCAGCGGTGGTTTTGTTGTTGTCGTTGTCGCTACCATAAACGTAGACAAGGTCTGAAAGGTCTCTCGCTAGTTCCTCGGCGTTCAGTATGGATCGCGATTTTCTCCGGTTTAAGATTCCGATGCGGGGTGGGCGACTGCAGACGTGGTGGGAATAGTAGTCATTGCCATTGTCAGCTGAATCGACATTGGTAACTTCTTCTTTTGATGATGCGGCGGTGTAGGCATAATCACTATTGAAATCAGTTACATTGGGATTGATGACTTGTTGTTGCTGATGATTGTCGGCCGTAGCATTCAAGTGTATATCCTTTAAATTACCATTGTGACCATAACTTGCTTGTTGTTGAGGGTAATTTTGGCCCGTAGCATTCAAATGTATATCTTCTGCGATAGTATCATTGTAGCTGTGATGAGCATCAAAGGCTTGGTCTTCCTGATGATTTTGGGCCGTGGGGTTCAACTGGGCCTCACCCGTATTGTCATAATGATCAGCAAATGCATTGGTAGCGAAATGTTCTTCCCTTTTCTTTTGGACCGTGACCTTTGGTTTGCTCTCGGTTCTGCGATTAGTGTCGGCTTCATTTCTATCGTCCTGACCACTAAGCTTACGGTTATGATTGGGATAAGTTTGTTGTCTGATGTGTCGGACCATGATTCGTGGAGAATTTTTCGCGATGCGATTGGTGTCAGCATCGACGAACCCAGCAAAGCTATTGCTATCGTCATCATAATGATCGACACTGGCATCCATGGCTTGCTCTTCTTGCTGCTGACGGGATCGGGCCGTGATGTCATTTTCGTCAGCTGTGATCCGATTTGCATCAGCATTTTCCAACCCGTTGTTTGTAACACTATCGTTGTCATCAGTATTCGCATCGCCATCAGTACCCCCCTGCTTACTGTCGCTCTCATTGTTGTTGTCATCGGCACTTATATTTGCACCACTGTCGGCATCACCAATGCCCCCATCCTCGATGCCTCTGTCGTTGTTATTGTCATTTGAATTGGTTTCGGTTCCGTCGGTATCCCCCTGCTCGCTATCACTGCCTTTGCCACTGGCGTACACATCGCCATCGGCGCCATCTAAACCCCCCTGACTGCTCTCGCCATCGTCGTGGTCGGCATTGGCATCCGTTGCTTGCTGTTGTCGTTCCTGCTGCTTTGTTTGGGCTGCGGTGTACAGTTCGTACCAGCTGGCGTCGCCAATGCTATTTTCGTCTCCATTATCATTTTTGTTATCATCCTCGTTTTCGTCGACATTGTTACCCGAAGTTGACAGCCGCCGCCGCCGCCGCTCTCCTTTTAGTCTCAAAGCACTCGGCGTCAACTCGGACGTAATGATGCGGTTTTCTTCGCTGCGAGTGGGTTGATGGAACCGGGTGCCCGAAGAGGCCTGTTGGCCGCCCGCCTTTCCTTTCTTGGTTTTTCGCGGTGCGTCTGAATTGAAAATAGTTTGACTTGTCTTCTTCGGCGGGGCCTCTGGGTTGGCGGTCTTCAGTTTCGTCATTAATTGTGCGATTCTTGGATTGGTAGTCAGTTGTTCTGCCTTTTTTGGTGGGGCCTCTAGGTTGGCGATCATCTGTTTTGTCATTTTTTGTGATGCTTCMGACTTGCCGATCTTTTGTTTTTGTTTCGCCCTTGTCGGCTGGGCCTCGGGCTTGCCAACCATCCGTTTCTGTTTCAGTAGCTCCGATAGTTTTTTTTGTGCAATGAGACTCTTTTGTCGTCGCTTTTCCATCCAGGCTTGTTTCTTCTTTTGATGCTCTATCCAGGCTTGCTTCTTCTTTTGATGTTGCCTCCAGGTTTCTTTCTTCTTTTGCTCTTCGCGCCAAGTGTGTCGTACAGCTAGCTTCTCCTTTTTCCCCCCGAGGAGCTTGTCCATCATATCGTTCCATTCATGGACGTGTTGCATCAGGTAGCCTTTGTGCGGGGGCTTGTCGTAGACCCGGATCGTTTGGAGGGGGTGGTAGAGTTTCTGGCACAGCTTGGTCGTGGCGACACCTTTCAAGTGGTATCGAAAATGGCAATCGTAGTAGTCGTCCAATGCCAGAATGGTCATGCCTAGCTGCTCCGTGAGCAACTCATTTAACCCCTTCATGAAGGAATTGTTTTCGAAGCACTCAACCAGGTTATCTAACTGGGTTTCCCTGTCGTAGATCAGGACCGGAACAACGGCGGTTTGATTGGCTCTGTTGCGGTCAGCGTTCGTGTTCATGCCTGGAAGGGTGGCGAATTCCATCCAGTAGTCGAAACACATGTAGAACTCTTCCATAGCGTGAGCAAAGTGCTGGAGTTTGTCCGTGACTTTGGGTTGGATCTTGCAAATGGCCGCCGTGTAGATTCGTGGTGATTTCGTTCTTTTAACTGCTATTCTGTTCATCATTTTTTGCATCGTGTACAGTTGCAGCTCAACGTCGTCGTCGTCGTCGTCTACTTCTCTTGGAAACTCGAATACCTGGTCCCTAGCGAAATTTTCCGCCAGGGCCTGGTAATTGGCGTTTACGTAGTCAAAGCCAGAGGGCGAAATACCAGCTGCCGATGCGTTCCAAATGGTGTGTTCTTCGTAGTCTGATTGATAATGGGACTTGATCAGCTTGGGTGACTCCTGGTAGGACCAGAGGGGCTGTGGCTCACAAATACCGCTGTTTTGGTTGCTTTTGGGTTCCTTCGTTTCATTTTTTGKGTAGTAGTAGTTGTTGTTCTTCTCAGAATCACGATTTGATGCCCGGACTTCGATTCGGAGGAGCCTCGAAATGGACGGCCCGGGCAATCCCTCCTCGTCCACAGCGATGGTACGGTTGGACGAAGTGTCGTTGTTTCCTTCTCCCCGACGGTAAAAAAAATAACCCTCAGTGGGGCTTTTCGCCTTTTGCAGCTCCCCACTCTGAACGTAGCTCAAAAAGCCGTTGTTGCTGACCATGCCGGTGGATAGTTGTGGTGGCTTCTGTGGTTGTTGCGGTTGCAATTCTTCGTGACTTTTGTTCCTGGGGAAAACAATAAAACTCATCGACCGAAAGTTGTCTCGTCCTCTTTCCTTCGTTCGGTTCCCGACATTGTTGGTGACCGTTCCGGTGGATGGTCGTGGTTGCTGTTGTTGTTGCGGTTGTTGTCGTTGCAGTTGAAACTCTTCGTGGCTTGAGGACACAGCAAAATCTATCGACCGGAAGTTGTCTCGTCCTCTTTCCTTCGTTCGATTCCCGACATTGTTGCTGACTGTGCCGGTGGATGTTTGTGGTGCCTGTTGTTGTTGTTGTTGTTGTTGTTGTTGCAATTCTTCGCGACTTTTGTTGCTGCTGCGGGACACAGCAAAACCCATCGACCGAAATTCGTCTTGTCCTCTTTCCTTCGTTTGATTCTCAAGATTCCCTATGAATGCCTGTTGGGAGTAGTTGTCGTACTCGTAGCGCGGCTGTACCGGGGCCAACCTCGAGTGCAAGATCACTTGCCCGTACACGAATAGGAGCAATCCAAAGTTGACGTACCACCGAAATGAAAGCATCTTTGGCGACCGCAGCATGTTGTTGTTGTTGTTGTTGTTGTTGTGGTAGTGACAGTGTTCCTGTCTTTCGAAGTGGTGGTAGTGGTGAACCGTGAGCATCGGGTTGCCTTCGCTATTCTTCTTGTCATCGCTACTACTAATGAACCTGGTAATGACGCTGCGAACAATATTACCGCTTGCATCGACAGATCTGTTCCCGATACGATGACTGCTGCAATTGCTGTTGTTCTTCCATGGGAATGTCGGGTACCGAACGGTTTCTGGCACGCTTGGGTCCGCCAAAAGTTGGTTTGTCCGTAAGGTAAAATAAGAGTTGTTGGAGGAGAGGGAAGCAACTGGGACCGTTCTGGGGCTGATTTCGCTGTTCTTATGGCTAGACGAATTGGTTTTCATTGACTGTGTAAACCGTTGCAGCTTGGGATTCTTTCCGTGGAAGCATTGATTTCTATGAAACAAGCCCGGCTCGCCTTTACTTTTTGCAGGGCTAAGCGAGTCCAATTTCAAATTGCTATTGGATGGGTGACGTATTGGTATTGGTTGAAAATTTGGTATTTTTGTTGTGGTTGCTATGGAAATAGTGTCAGAGCTGTTTTTTCTTGTGACAGGCCTGGACAGATTTGACTCTGAGCTCAAGTTGGATGGAACAGGTGGTTGTATCGGTTCCAATACTTTAATTGTAGCTGGTGTGGATGTCTGCTGTGGATTAGGTTTTGCTTTCCCAAGGCTATCATCGAAGCTACTGTTGTTACTCTTACTGCTGCTACTGCTGCTGTTATGGACTGTGCCTGGAGTGTCTTCGCTTTCCTCAGGGATAAAAGAATCCAAATTTAAATTGGATCTGGCTTGTGTCGCCCCTGATTGATCCTTTTCCACTGTTGTCGATGTTGTTGCTACGGGTACAGCACAAAGGCTGCTTTTTTTCGAGACATTACTAGACAACTTTGACTCTGAGCTCAGGTTGGATGGAACAGGTGCTTGTATCGGTTCCGCTGCTTTGAATGTTGCTGGCGTCGTCGTAGTCGTCCGCTGTCTCTCAGTCTTTGCCTTCCGGGGGCTGCCATGGTTGTTGTTCCTGCTGCTGTCCTTGGCGTGGTCCTCTAGCGATTTTTCCAACAAATTCCTCTGCAGGGTCGACCTCTTTCGGGAAGGGGACGCAAGGATCACCGTGCCGTGTGCGCGTTTCGGCGGGGCGGTGTCCTCCTCCCCCGCCATTCTTTGTTTCATCGCTGGTGGGAGCGGCAGCCGCCAAACCGCCAGAACCGTTCGACCGCGTTGTGTGGCCACGACCCGGTTTCGCAATGCACTCCCGCAATCGGGATCGAATCGAATGCAATGCAATCAAACCATCTACCACAGTGAGGGCCTCTAGCTTCGTTCCTTATCAGTTTGTATTGCCAAGCAGCAACGATCGAATGGGAATTCTTGCCCATCACACTCGCGTTTTCAAATAATTCAGCAAAAACTTTCTATTCTACCGTACGGTACGGTACGGTACCGTACGTACGAGAAGTAGGATGAACGAACAAGAAGTACATACCTGCGGAACGTCGGCGTCTAGTACGTACCGTAGCGTAGCGTGGACATGACCCCTTTCTTGCTCTTACAGTACGTACTGAGCGAATAGATGCATCGATAGTTCAGTACCGTTGCGGCACGACGGTACTGGTACGACACGGCTTAAAATTGGTCTGCTTCGGGGCAATAGTCGAAAGAAGTCCGTGAGTACCGTACCAGGCTAGCAAATTGAAAACTGTACAAGCGGTAGGTAGTTTTTACTAGTACCTAAGTATCCCGCCCACCGCCCACCCAAGTTATGTTAGTGCTGTACTGCACTGTACTGTACCTGGTACTACACTGCTTTTGTTTGAGTCAAATAAAGTGTTCTCTATCTTATTCTCTATTCCTTCTTGTTCTCCAAAAATGAGCTCTCCCCCCCCCAGCTCCTCCTCGTGACTCTTAGGCAATATTCACACTTTCTCTGCTGTTTCAATAGTATTCTCTAAACAAGGTCACCATCAGTTCACCGTTTTTGGTTGCAGTACTCTCTTATTTGAACTGGGACTGCTGGGCTACTGTCATGGTTGTGGGTTTTGGGGGATTTCCACAAACTTGGTGCGGGCAACAAATATGACCTCAACTGTTGGGTTGACGCCAACTGTTATTGATTCAATACGAGCAACCATGTATGGTGCAAACATACAGGGGTGTCATATGAAGTCTGAAAGATTGTATTTAAGTATGTTTACCCTATTGGCTATACAAAATAGATAAGAATGAGGAATAAACCCAAAATAATCTTTTCTGTCACATCTTGTGACATTGCAAAATTATTTGTCCAGATGACATTCTCATTCTTGATCATCATTTTTCCATTGGTTCTCGGGCCATGGACTGTCTGTCCTTCAACGTACTCCTTGCTGCTTTGTGTTGTACCACTGGGAGTCATGTACATCCAAAACTGCATGTAGCAGTGCACTAAATAAACTTGCTTGTATGCAATACAGTGCTAACTGTGGTACCAGTCTGTGTTGGCGCTTAGCCATCATTGTTCTTAGCTTTGCTTTCTTCTTTGTTGCATAATACTCTCCTTGCTTGTATCCAATGCAATCAGCATCAGTAATGCCTTGGTTTGAATTCCTGAAATGCTTGAATTTACTCCCCTGTAGAGGCTTTATCAGACACTCAGCAATCATCTTGTCAGTTGGGCAGTATTTGATGTTGACCTCCCCTTTGTTCACTCAGTCTGTGAAAAAAAAGTACTGGATATTTATGTGCTTGATGTGTTTTGTGCTGGACTTAGTCCAGTTGTTTTCCAATTTCATAGCACTCTCATTGTCTTGGTGGAGAACATTGTTTGCAACCAACTTATTTTCTGTGCTGCTGTCATCTGCAATGTTGTTGATCATATGTTGCTTTTGGGCTTCAAGGAAATACCTTGCCCAAAGAATGAAGGTCATGTTATCATCAACACCAACTACCTTGGCCTCAGTTGAGCTTTTAGCCTAGTGTTCAGCTTCTGCTTGGTACAGGTGGTTATAGTGGCCCCCGTTCAAAAACTCATCACTCCTCCAGAATTACTCTGCATGTCTTTGTGTACAGCAAAAGCTACATCAATGTGCCAGTACACATCTCCTGTGCTTTCCCACCCCAAAACAAGTGGTAGATATGGTGTAGCTGTGAGATACGACATGACCCTTCACAGCTTCTTCCATTCATCTGTATCAGGCTTAGATACCCATGTGAAAAAGGAACACCACCACCATTTGTATGTCCATTTGGTCATGAATAAAATTTTTGCTGCCATCTTCAGTGTAGTCAATGGTCATCCCCAAATAGTTTTGCATCTTTCCTCTGGTCTCAGTGAGAGGGATTTCTTTCCTGAATACCTCATTCAAGCCATTGGTTATGCCTGTCATGACTGCTGCTGGGTCACAGTGTGATATCTTCAGATTGCCAACATACCACACAATTGTGTATTGCTTCCTGTCAATCAGCTTGTTGACAGTACATGGATCATATGGATTCAAAGCAAAACCCCACTCCTCAAGCTGGCCATACAGCTTTTCCCAGAAAAGAAGTGCCGCCCTTGATGTCCTGTTTATGGCCTTCTCCGCTCTAGTGAATACTAGGGTCTTCTTCATATTCCTGTTTATCAGATACTTGCAATAAAGCTTTGGGTTGATACAGCATAACAACTATGCCATTGTCCCATCTAGCCATATATGCACATCCCCCCTTCTGGCATTGGGGTTTGCAGGAAAGCCCTTGGCATAACCACGGTTGCTACATCTCTGTGTTTGATTGCATCAATGACACAGGACAGAATCAGCACATATAGGGATACATTTGGTGATGCTGTATCCTCTTTGTAGATGTATTCCCACTGCCTTCAGCCGTCTGCACAACCCCCCCCCCCCCCTAATTGATGCATCCCTCTTTCTTTTTTAGGAACATTAAATATGACAGAGCTTGTTGCTTTATGTCTTTTGTTACTGCCTTTGAATCCAGGGCAGACACAACCTTCTGGTTGTGTAGCTGCTGCGTTTCTTTTAGCACAGCATTCACTCCTGCATCCCAAAGATTTTTATGCCTTGCTTTGTGCCATACTGCTTTGCTATGTGAGTAGCATCAAGGTTGTTTTAGTTCTCAATTTCATTGGTCACCATAGATAGTGCATGATGTTCATGAGACAGATGATTCACTGCGCGTGTGTACCCAGCTGTGAAGAACAATTGCATGTGTGATGTTGGGTGGAAACCCTCGGCCTAATAACATTTATTGTGTGCCCTTGTTACCCCTGGGTAGAGACGCGGCCAAACAGGCTCAACAGCGGCCTCTGATGTGTCGTAAGGTTCCTCTGTGATGGTGTTGCCCTTGGCAGGTTCTTGTCCTTCATTGACATCTGCAATCACAGCCAGATCTTCAGGCCCTGCCTTATAGCCTTTGGGGGCATTATCACCATTATGGTTGTCCTCATTAGCTGCATCAGTGTTCACTTCTTTCACTGGTGGTTTGACAACAAGTTGTGTGTCCTCATTGTCAATGTATCCACTGAGAGCTGTATCAACTGCTTCATCCTCAGGCCAACAACTTCCATCTGACAAGTTGTTGTCCCTGGTTCTAACCGCGTCTTCAAGGTCTAGGATGATGGTGTTACCCTCCTTGTCACCAAACATGATTCTGCTTGGTGGCATCTTTTGGGCTTTTACAATTTTTGTCTGGCGCTGGATGATTTCCTTGGTCAAAGGTGTTGGTGTAGCAGACTTTTGATGTATCAGTCTTCCTCTGTTCATGTCATGTACAAGGGAGCCTCCACCAGTCAGTGACCCTGTTGGATGTAGGTACTACAGTGCATTCACTGCTCTTGGCTTCCTGGTGTTGTCTGTATGGTCCCCAAATGTCTTATCATTGACTGCTATGAATCATTGAGATCTTCTGCTTCTTTGCTTTGTTCACTTTGTGATTTGGTTGTGCCTTGGGTTCTGCTAGTACTAGTAGATGGCATTTGTTGATCAACTCAACTGTGGTGCAGGCCAATGACATGGAAGTATTGATTCCACTTTAGTTGCATATGTAAAAAGCTGTAGTTCTGTGTAGACTCTATGTGGGACTTAAACCTAGATAGGAGATTCTAGATTATCCCATCCACACTACGGTCTTCCAAGTACTAGATGCTGCCAGTGGAGTTGAAATGATGGGGCGGATCACCAATGACGCTTAGGTTATCACATTTTTTCAGGAGTTGAGTTACTTGTCCATCAGGTGTGCAGGCTCTTGGATCACAATCAGGAAATAAGGTCAATGTGGTACAAAAATGGAGTGGGTGATTCATGAGGAGAATTGCTTGTGCTGATGGATGTATTCACTTTTTTGTTGGATTCATGAATTTTATTCACAAGAGACTGCAAACTAATGGATTACCACTGCTCCCCTTGTCAAGGGCATTCAAGCAATTAGATATTTTGGT